TGTTATCTCTATCTTCTATGTAAATAGGTTGGTTTATCCTGTTTCATCAGTTATTTCACATAACTGACAGTAAAACAGACATTTAAACCATATCTGCAGAATTGCATGCTTATGCTTCAGTGAAAAACCACTTTGCTAAATCAAGTTGTACAGCATGGAAACAGATCCTGCGGTCCAACTTGTCCGTGCCGACCAGATATCCTAAACTAATTTAGTCCCATTTGCCAGCATTTGGCCCATATCCATCTAAACCCTTCCTATTCATACAGCCATCCAGGTGTCTTTTAAGTGTTGTAATTGTACCAGTCTCCACCACCTCCTCTGGCAGCTCATTCCAAATGCGCACCACACTGCTTAAAAAAGCTGCCCCTTAGGTCCCTTCTAAATCTTTCCACTCTCACCTTAAACCTACACCATCTAATTTTGGATTCCCCTACCCTGGAGAAAAGACCTTGACTATTAACCCTATCCAAGCCCCTCATGATTTTATCAACTTTTATGACGTCACCCCTCAGCCTCCGACACGCCAGGGAAAATAGCCCCAGACTATTCAGCCAAAAGTGGCCTAACCAATATCCTTCACAACCGCAACATGACCTCACCTCCTACACTCAATACAGAAAACCAAATGCATCAACCTCAATTTCAGTCTGGAATCTGACTTGCCCAGTATTAGGATCATAACTGAAGCACAAATAGAATACATCTTGAGCAGCCTTAATATAAATCATTTGAATGCTATATCTGGGGACTGACTATAGTTCATTCAAAGCCTTGTTATTCATTAGTTCTCAAAGTACTACTTGGAGAAGAGACAAGTTATATTTACCATTCAACCATCATATAGCATGGCATTCCTCAGTCATGACACCCAGGCAGGCACATTCTTACCAGTAAATAACCAAGTATGTGCAACATCAATTGTGCTCATTAAATGGACAAAAGGTTTTTTCTCTGTCCTTAAAGATGATTATTTATTTTGAGGAGCAATTTCAAGTCTGCTAACAGCTCCCTGCTATATGACCCAAAAGGGGTTATTCTTCAGGGATAATGAATAATGGACCAGTTAGAGTAGCAGTAAACACAGCAGACATTTCCCCTCCACCTCACCTCAATTGGCACATGCACTGCTGGATTTCTGCTGAAGTCATGACAACAGAAGGGGAAACTGGAAACGTAATTCCTTTAGGTTTTTAAATCAGTGGGTGCTGGAGGGGGGTGTACGTTTTATACTTAACATATAAATATTCCATTCTTGACTCAGGAAACCTCAGTACTGTACCTGGTAACGATATAATTCTTTAGCGATTTTAGCATTATGATCACAGAGCTCAGCCAGCGACCGACCAGTCAGAATGTACTGTTGTGCCATGTTGACAAACCAGTCCATGGAGTTGCTGCCCCCTTCCATTTCAAACACATTCAGAGCACTGGACACATTTGCAAATTGCTCTGATAAATCCGGCTTCTTGAAGAAAAAGATAGGATAGCGTCTCTCGCCTCCGTAGGTTTTCCGATTGGAGTCACTGGTAAACATGCTATCTTTTCCAGCAAAAGCCAAGTCGCCAAACAGCCCATAGCACAGCCCTTCAGGATTGGCACGATCAACAGGTCGGCTGGCATCTTTAAACATGTGCTGATACAGAGTGCTGTCTTTTGATCCAGAAAGGAGGTAATAAGGATCGTGAATATGGCGCCATACAATTCCTGTGGTCACATCCTTGTGCTCCTCAAACATTCCAAATGGAATGTATGGGCGTCGGATATCCCAGACATAAATGTTGTGATCTACCATCATGGAGCAAGTGGCCAAATGGTACTTCATTTCCGGTCGCCATTTCACACGTGCGACTGAGGCAATAGTCTGGACACAATAGATCTCTTTGGTCCTAGTTGTTGAAATGTCCCATACTTTCACCATTTTATCTCGCCCTCCAGTTGCTAACCATCCTCTGAAAAGGAACAAAAACAATCATTGTATTGAACTTATTATTTACTCTTGGAGACCATTAAGATTTATACATTACTTGTCCAACAAGTGAAGAAATTTTTTTCTACAAAAATAAAGTAGAATGTTTAGACCAGAGTAGTTCAACAAGAACATTGTAGATCATCGGCACATGTAAAAGAGAGTATTTTAGGGAAAGGAACAGTGAACAGCAGAATGTTCCTCAACCAGAGTAAGACAAAGACAGAAGAGGGCCGTGGGAAAACTAAACAGGATCTAGATTTTCACGTACATGTTGCTAAGTTAATACTGAATTCAAAAACAGATTGAGGGTATCGCGTCTGGAGCAGCGTGTGCAATTCTGAACACTCAAGATGAACAATATAGCAAGGTGGATGTAGAAAAGATGCTTCCTCTTGTGGGCAAGTCTAGAACTAGAGGACACAGTTTTAAAATTAGGGATTGCCTTTTTAGGCCAGAGAGATGAGAACTGTTTTCTCCTAGACTGCCTTAGAAGGTAACAGAAGCAGGGTCATTAAATATTAAGGCAGATATAGACAGATGGGAATATGAAATTCAAATCAGTCAGCCATTATCTTATTGAATGGACGAGCAGGGTCAAGTGGCCTACTTCGGCTCCTATTTTGTTCATAAGTGAATCAAGGATACTCAAAAACATAAGACATGAGAGGGTAGTTGATGAAAATCCATTTCCCCTGTTTGAAAATAAACAGGAACAAGGGATATAAATTTGGGTTATGCTCAATTAGATTTTCACACACAGGTTACAACATGGAATACCCTACCATAATGCAGCAACAATTATTTAAAAATAGAATTGGATAGGTTTTAGAAAACAAAACTCTAAAAAGTGTAAGAAGAAAGAAGAAGGAAATAGGATGTAGGATTGTAACTCCAGCTGAAGAACAGAGACTCAGCACTAGTGAGATGGAGCAGACTGGCCTCCTGGGCCAATTCTATTATTTTTACATACACACAAGGTACTCCATATCAGATCAGATATGGGGCAATGATATGGTGGTCTCACTTTTTTAAAAATAAAGAGCTCAACATAAATACCCACACCTAAATTTTACAAGGATGTTAAAAACTGCATTGTGGTCTATAGTTAAATTAGATGCAAAAACAACATAAAATGCCCATTCAAAGTAGCTTGCACTATCACCCAAGCCTTGCTTACAAATAACATATTCCACAGAACTTGAATGGTGCCGCTCATTAAGTATTAAAATTCTCTGGTAGCATCTAATTTGGCTCATTCAGGGTGGTACTGGTTTGATCGTCCGGGATTCTCTAAATTCTGCGACTTCGTCTTTAGAAGGAGAGTTGTGTAACAGGCTGGCACACATTGTGGAAGATCCAATATGCTGCCACCTAGCAGGGCATAGTCACAAATGTTTCAGCAATGTCTCCCTCGTTCAGTTACTCCATCTGTCACACCACCTTCAAACTTTCCTGGGCTTCCCAGTTTATGAAAAGCCACAAATTGCTGCGAGAGTCAGTGAAGTAGCACGAGTGCAAGTGTCCTGTCCCGTTGTCCCCCACCACGATCTCTTTATTGACACAGCTCCTCCTTACTTTCCATTTAGATTCTAACACATTATGCCAGTAGAAGCTGGCTATGTAGTTGTCTTGCTGGCTGTCACCTGTGATTCCCCATATGGCGAGTACCTAATCTCAGCTGCACAATAAGCAGGTAATGAATGCAGGTTGGACAACTTTCCACTGACAGCAAGTGAGCATGAGGGCATGAAACAATCCACCACACTGCAGTAGCCTTGTCAAAACCTTTAGTAAGCTGCCTGGCCAATAGCTCAGCCAAGGCAGATCACTGCTTGGATGGGGAAATAGCAGAAAATAATTTCACCCTGCTCATGCTAAGTAAATAAAAATAATGCTAAATAAATAGCAGAAAATAATTTCAACAATAGGTGCTATTCAGGTCAATCCCAAAAAAACCTACTTGTAGCTTTATTCATTTATTGGAAATTTGATGTTTAAGACTTGCTCACCAAATCAGGGCTCCAGATTACACATTCTACAATTAGCTGGCAATTTTCAAAAACAAAATTTATCACCACGTTGCATAGTTTTTGCAAAATTTTGACAATTGGTATAATTTTAGTTTTTGTCTGATGCAAAAACAATATAGGTTAAACTTCCCCAAGGCTTCACAAAGGGGTAGCGTGATATCCTTGAGTTTTCAGGCTTGTAATTTAACATGCAGTACCGGAGAAACTCAGCAAGTCTAGCAGCATCTGTAGAGATGGAAACAGAGTTAACGCTGAGTCCTGTGACCCTTCATCAAATATTTGACACGATGCTCCCTCTGGTATGTATGTACTTATCATTCACTGATGCCTGTCTGCCATGTTGATTGAGCCAAGTTATACTGAAGCTGACTTTTAAGATCTTAAATGTATCTCAGTTGTTTGGCAAAGGGAAACAAAAGGAAAAAAGTCTTATCAAGACTCTTATGAAATTGCTGAAGGTTGCAAGAGCCTCATTTTACTCACCTATCATCTGGGTGCCAGTCACAGCAGAAGACAGGTCCATTATGTGCTGTAAACATGCGCTCATATCTATCTGGCCGTCTTATGTCCCACAGCTGAACATTACCATTTTCAAATGAAGCAGCAAATGTGAAATAGTCTTTTATACTGAACTGGACATCCCGGACACTTTCTGACTGACCTACAGAAGATAAAGTTCCACTTGCAAGATTACCAAAATAGGTTCAATAGTTACGGCAGTTAATACTGGCAGGACTTATTGGAACACATAAATCTTAAGTCAATGAGATTAATTGTCTCTTCTACACAATTTAATTAGCTTCTATTGCATTACTTTGAATGGTTCATTTTGCTCTCTGGGTTACAGTTCACAGTTAAGTGGAAATCCTAGTCAGGTGCAAGAGGATAGCTGGTGAGACATATGGAAAGTATTCATTTAATGATTAGAGTGCATTAAGATTCATTGTTGGAGGATTGTCTGTGTGTGTTCACGTGCATGTATATGCGTGCGCACAAACATCTAATCCACAAGCAGCTAACCAGTGCTTGAGGGTCCACTTCCAACAGTCTTCACAACAGGAGTTACAACTTCCAACAATAAAATTGAAATACGTTAACATATCAAATGAAACAGTTTAGTAAGAGAACATAAATCTAAACTAAAAGAGGCAAAACGGACTGATAGCAAGGGGTTATGTCCAAAAAAAAGTATTCAATGTATGAAATGACTTCTGGATAGAACAGTGGAAAAAAAAAAGTTGCTTCTCAAATCACCTCCTTCAAGCATCTTATAACAGTTTAAAGGGACAACTTTAAGCAAACTAGTCCGAGATAACTGTTTCTAAATTGTATTAAAGGCACCATTCCCCACCCCCACAGGATGGTGTCTGCCTCAAGCGGAGGAAACAGAGGCTTTAGTGTTAGTCCTTCATCAGACAATCGGGGAACGGCATATATTTTGGCATCCCTTCAACTTTGTTTCAGGCGACATGCCACCAAGGAAGTAAATACTGGGGCAACTTTTGAAAATTTGCCAGCCATCAGTGCTGATATTTCTCCAGCTCATTAAAAAGACAGCCTCATTGTAAAAATTATTTCCATTTTAGCGTAAAGTTTACAAAACATGTGTAACCATACATGAAAAATTGTGCAACTAAATTTTTTATATGAATTGCAAATATAGGAATGCTGTTGCCTACATGAACTGATCACTGAGTTTGCAGGAACATAGATAATTATATCTTTTACCAGAGAAGGTGCTCACAGATTCCCTCTTCCGGAGATCGAAGCACTTCATGTAGCCATCCTGGGAACCACTCAGCAGCATGTGAATCTCATTGGGGTGGAAGCAGACCTTATTGACTGTGCGCTTGTGCTCGGTGAAAAGCTGATCCTGTTTGTTGCGAGACGGTTTTCCCAAATTCCACGTGACCACAGCTCCATTCGTGGCCGCCGTTGCCAGTAAGTTATCATCCATCTGATGCCACATCACATCAGCACAGCTGAAATTCAGGGACAGCTTGCGCCCAACCCGGAGATTCGCCCTTTCCACAAACTGCTCCTCTTCTATGGAGTAGATTTTAAAGATGTTCCGCCCTGCCACTACCACCTGAGCAGCGTCCCTACATACACTAATGGCGTTGGCGGGTGCATCAAGGTGGCAGAACATAGTTCGCCCCGTGATGGTTGAGCCACTCAGGACTGTGGTCACTCGTGCCATCTTCTCCATCAAAAACACGAGTAACTTCAGGCAACGTTGCCAGTTAGGAAATGGGAGCTGCCGTTTTCAATTCCGTCAGTACCCCCAATCTGACAAAAAAAAAAATCCACAGTTCCACGTTTCAAACAGTTGACAAATTTGTCCTTATTGACAAGTCAGCTGATCTAGTACATCAGTACGGATACTGACATGTTGTAGTGTGCGAATTACCATTGTTCTGTGAACACAGTCAAGTTGAATTTAACTCCTCACATTTAAAGGCAGTTCCAGAGTTTTAGATGGACAGAACCCCAGATTCACATCAATTTTGTTAAAAGCCTGAAATTAGAACAAAAAAAAATAGAAATTAAGTCAGTTTAGAAATAAAAAGACAAAAGCAAAATGCTGTGGATGCTGGAAATGTGAAGGCAGAATAAAAATAGCTGAAAATGAAACCCAGGTCAGGCAGCATCTCTGGAGAAAAACAGTTTATGTTTCAGGTTGATGACAGCGAAGAATGAAATAAAAAGAATTTGACCATATTAACACCTAAAGACACAAGATATGCTTGCAAGTTTTCATTGAAGGCTGGATAAATGCATGGGGAATCTCTCAGGGCTCTATTATTCGTTTCCTCTGCTATCTTAAAAAAATGCACATAATCTTAAGTGAACCATAAGGTATTAGAGCAAAGAACAATACAGCACCGGAACAGGCCCTTCAGCCCTCCAAGCCTGTGTCGACACATTTTGCTCTTTATGCTAAAACTATCTTCACGCGCAGGATCTGTATCCCTCCATTCCCTTCCTATCGACGTATTTGACCAGATATTTCTTGAATGCTGCTATCGTGTCTGCTTCCACCACCTCATGCGAAAGAAGTGTGAAAACTTGGCTCGCTCATCTCTTTTTAACCTCTCTCCCTCCCCGCACCTTGAACCTCTGTCCCCTCATAACAGACCCCTACATCCTGGGAAAAAGCCTCATACTTTCCATTTAGTCACATTTTTAAAAGTTTACCCTTTCACCCCTGACAGTTAGGCTCACAGATCAGCATACAGAAAAAATGATGCTGCGCAAATTTACACTCCAAGGTGATTCAGCTCTAAGTAAGTGCAAGGCTTGTTACAAGTCTTATTTTTTGATACAGATCTATTCAGAAGTGCTGCAGATGCATTTTCCGTAAATAGTGCTAAAATGTGATTGACCACATGATACCTAGAAAAAACAGTTGCCATTGATTGTAAACATGACGTTTAAATATTGTTGTGTTTTGGTGTTGTGTCTATGTTTCAGGGTAAAATGAAGGAGGCAACACGATAGTTCTGAAGGCGGTTTGACAACAGGCCTGTGTGAGGGAGATGCTAAAGATGAAGCAAACAGAATTTTATTAGGAAGGGGTTAGGTCTTTAAACTCAGGAGGTAATGGTCACAGTATCTGTGCTTACAGTGGTTAGAATGCTCGTCTCCAAAGTGCCAGGAAGGTGTTGAGAATATCAAGTTGTACAGTTATGCATTAAACTGTCCCTTTACTTAGAAGGTAAAAGGCAGCCAGGATGGTCAAGGATAGCTAATCAACAATTGCCCTGAAAATCACAGTGTGACTGACTCCAGATGATGTCTTTTTTTGGGGGGGGGGGGGGGGTTGCAGAATGCGGAAGAGGCTAAAACAGGTTTACTGCACAGGAATGTGAATGAGAGCTCATACTCAATTGAAGGTCATATTCAGGAGCACTCACAAGGAGACTGGAGGATTCAACCAGCTTGCAGTAGAATTCCAGGACAATCACTCACCACAAAAGACAGCTCTGTAGTTAAAAACTACCAGACTGAGAAAGAAAAGGAATGAAAGCAACTCTTTAGAAGCCAAGACTCCCCTTGGATGGCATCAAAAATGAAATGACTACTTACAGGACATTGTAAAAAGCACAGACATGAAGTCGGTTATTCAACCGAATTTGTCTCCAACTAAAAAGTCTTAGTGAATAGTATTTAGTCAGTTTGTCACAAAGAAATCAATGTGAAATCTTGTTGAGTTAGTCTTTCAGCTATTAACAGGAAGTTTTGATTCCTTTTTAAAACAGCTATTGGTCACTACCAGAATCATAACAAATGAGGCAACAATGCAGAAAGACAAAAATTCTAATCAGAATATAATACAGGAAAAATTCAACTTAATTTTTTATACCTCACTACTGTAAAAAGGTGGAATTAGTTGAACTGAAATAACGTTTGCAACTCTGAACATTGAGTCTTTTGCTTTGAGATACTCATTATTAAAACATTAAGAAAATATTATAAGATAATATAATTTACATTCCTAAAGTATAGTCAAGATTAATTTTGTAATTCTATGTTTAATGGGAAATATTTAAACTTAAGACAAAATTACACTGAGCAACATTGTTCAACTTTGAGCAGGTGGAGTTGACATTTTATACTGCAGCTATATGCTAGCAACACAAGTGGTGTTTACCACTAACAGGATGCTGCCATGAAGCCAAAAGACAGCTGTCCATCACGCAAACAAGTAATGTTGCATATGAATTTCAATACAATACAATTAATATCCTTTTATTGTCATATGTATTCTATTGTAGGAGTACAGTGAAAAGCTTTTACAATGTCTGCCTTATCGCAACATCTTAGGTACAGGTACCTAGGTAAAATTCTTGGATACAGGAGGGGAATAAAAGTAGTTGCATTACTTAGAGAGTTGAAAAATAAGTTAAAAATAGGACTTAGTTAAAAGATTGACTTTACAGTAAGGTAGGAAATTTCAAATAGACATTACAGTGCAACAGCTCAGTACAGAGCCTCCGCATGCGGTCTGACCACCCACACTAGACCCCAGTCCAACAGCCTTCCCCACTCTACACCAAGCCCCAGACTGCTCCATACTGGCACTCTGCTGCTCCAAGGTAAGTTCTAGGACTGCCTCCCCTGCACTGGTCTCTGCCCAGGGCTCACTGTACAATGCTCCAGGGCTGCTTTCCCGTGTTGTTGAGGCTCGCAGCCCAAGCACTGTACCAGAGCTCACTATTGCGAAGCAAGGTAGGTATGCTATATGACCCAAAGAATGGATATTAGTCACACCCAGCCAGCCAGTGCCAACAAAACTCTAAACTGTGTGTAAGCAAAGCTTTTCAATGTATTTCGGTACATGTGACAATAAATCAAAACTAAAATTATTCTATGCGATTCCACAATTGGTGAACATTTGCTAAGTAATCCAGATTACCCAAAATTTATGCTCACAAGCAATTTAGAACCATCAGGCTTGCAGGCGCGGTACGCTTGCATGTGCTGGAATCTTCAGAGATTAATACAAAAACAGAAGGAATACGTAGACACATGAACATGTTTCAACTGATCAGATCAAGCAATATTCTGATTCGTTCCTCAAGACAATGTCTTGACCAGTCATCAACCCACCCGGTTTCAATTTAAACAAAGTTGTTCAGTGAATTATCCTCTACCATCTGCTAATGTATTCTCCATTCTCAAGCTGCAAGACTGAATTAAATACAAGTGCTGGAGAAACTCAGCAGGTGCGTCAGCATCTGTAGGGTGTAGGGGGTGGGGTGTAGGGTGTAGGGGGGGGAGGGGGTGGGGAAGGAAATGGGAGTTATTTCGTTCCCAGTCGAATAAATAACTTCTTCTTCGGAACTGGAAGGGTTTTCTTGCAGGGAGATTAACGGTGGAGTTATTTGAGTGTTGATCTGACCTTCTCCCCAGCTTCAGTGTCGGCTCCAGGGTCATCGCAGCCTCTCCGTCCGGGGAGAACAGCCTCGAACACCGACATTACCGCCACAAGAGACTTAACGCCCGCCAACACAAACGAAAAATAAAACAGGCAGCTGCGGATTTTACTTTCTCTTTTAGGAGTGTCCAGCGTTCAGTGGAACCACTGCAAGCCTTCCCCTGCCCAGCCCAGCCGGGGGTGAGGTGTCTATAACCCTCACTCTCCGCCCAAGGAATTTTCCTCTTCTTTCCCCCAGCAACACAAACCCCGTTTATGAAACAAACGCCCTCGCCCTCACCCTCTCCTCGCCGCCATGCACCCGGAAACCGTCGCCCCGTCCCTTCCGCCCGCCGCCATGCACCCGGAAACCGTCGCCGCGTCCCTTCCGCCTGCAGCCCGCACAAACGTTCCGCCCTGAAACCCGCAGCCGAAGTTTAACAAACACAAAATGATCGAGAAGCGGTTTCCGCCTTTCCGGGGTCCTCCTCCCCGAACCCGGAAACGGTGTCTTTGATGTACGGGGAGAAGAGACAGAGTAAGGAATAAACTGCAACCGTTTGGTGGCCCGGTCCGGCTTCGCGTAGAAACTACAACTCCCGAGATGCCAGGCGGCGGGCTACGCCCTCCCACGTGATATAAACACAAGTCACGTGCGCCTCCCGCGACCAATCGTTCCGCTCATTTCGGTAACGATGGAAACGGCTGGGCCTTGAACTGCAGAGAGGTCACATTCGAGGAATGGTCCGTGTGTCACCAACAATTACTGCTTCTGTCCTGGAGAGATCGAAGAATGATGTTACTGCGTTAACTTTTTATACCAGCTTCTCCCAGCCGTCTTATCATCTTTAATCTCCTGCACAGTCTGTGGATGATTTTCTCTCCCATCCACCCACCAGCCCCCAGTTTGAACAGTAACTTTTGGTCCAGGGAAGATGTTCTTGAAAGGGCTCGGAAAAGATTTACAAGGATCTGAGCTACAGGGAGAGGCTGAACAGGCTGGGGCCGTTATCCCCTTGTAGAGGTTTATAAAATCATGAGGGGGCATGGACAGGGTGAATAGGCAAGGTCTTTTCCCCAGGATAGGGGAGTCCAGAACTACAGGGTATAGGTTTAAGGTGAGGGGGGGAAAGATTTAAAAGGGACCTAAGGGGCAACTTTATCACGCAGTGGATGATGCCTGTATGGAATGAGGTGCCAGAGGAAGAAGTGGAGGCTGGTACAATTACATTTAAAAGGCATCTGGATGGGTATATGAATAGGAAGAGCTTATGGGCCAAATGCTGGCAAATGGGACTAGATAAATTTAGGATATCTGGTCGGCATTGACAGGTTAGTCAAACGGGCCTATTTCCATGCTGTACAACTCTATGACTCTATAAAAACCAAAAGAACTGCAGATGCTGTAAATCAGGAACAAAAACAAAGCTGCTAGCAAAGCTCAGCAGTTCTGGCAGCATCTGTGAAGGAGAAAACAGAGTTAACGTTTCGGGTCCTGTTCTGAGGAAGGGTCACCAGATCCGAAACGTTAACTCTGTTCTCTCCTTCACAGATGCTGCAAGACCTGCTGAGCTTTTCCAGAAACTTTGTTTTTGTTCTATGACTCTATAAGTTATTTTCCTCAGAGTAGAGATGGCCGGGGCTACAGAGTTATGAGGGGCTTAAATAGGGAGAAACTTTCCCACTGAAAACTCCTCGGAGGCTGGTGTCCCATCATCAATCATCCTTTATTTACAAAATAATAATAGCACTGCCTTTCATTGAGTCAGGCATTCAGCGGACCCCATATCCCTGACATTTAACCTTCTATGCCAACCAGATTAACAGCCCCAATTAGGGAACTCATATTCTATGAGGTCCAGCTGGCTGAGCTCGTTACAATCACTACATCTCTTCCCCCCTCCTTAGTAGTTGGGACAGCAACCGGGGACACATTTTTAAGGTTAGGAGCAGGGTGTTTAGAGGGATTTGAGGAAGTTTTTTTTCACCCCCAGAGGCTGGAACTCAATGCTAAAAGGATGTTAGAGGCGACACCTTCAGATATTTAACCATGTAGGTAACGGTAGGACACCAAGAAGCTCAGAGAAATAAAGGGATCTTGCTGTTCTTGTCCGCAAATCCCCAAAGGTGAGAGCGTAGGTTAATAGGGTATTTAAGAAGGCAGAAATACCAAAGAACTGCAGATGCTGGAAATCAGAAACAAAAACAGAAATTGGTGCAAAAACTCAGCAGGATTGGCAGTATCTCTTCTGAAGTGGGGTCACTGGATCCAAAAGGTTAACTCTGTTTTCTCACCACAGGTGCAACCAGACCTGCTGAGTTCTTTCCAGCAATTTCTGTTTTTGTTTAAGAAGGCATGAGGACACTTGCTTTCATCTGTACATAAAGGAGAAACCCTCCCCCTTAGTAAAGAGGACAATAACCAGGGGGATGTGGGCCAAATGCTGACAAATGTGACTAGATACATTTAGTTTATCTAGTTTTAACTTTGGAAATTGGCGTTTAGAGGGGATTGGAGGAAAAATGATTTCACCCAGGTGGGTATCTGGGTTGTTTTCCTTAGACCAGTGAAGGATGAATGGGGGCAGAGGTGGAATCTGATTGAGGTGTAAGGGTTGTGGGTATCTGGAATTTGCTGCCTAAAAGGGTGGTTCAGACAGGAACCCTCAATGTTTAGGAAGCATTTACATCAGCACTTGAAATGCCTTAGCATATAAAGCTACTGATGTTCAATGTGGACATGACGGGCCAAAGGATACTTCCATGCAATAAAAACTCTGTGACTGTCTAAAGAAAACTGGCATCCCAAACTGGTCTGACCTGACTTGCAAAACCAAACCCAAAACAATGTAAAATGATGCAATGTCAGTGATTGTGCTAGATAATCCGGGGATAAACTGTCCTTGGCCACCAACTCCAACCATGACACACACGTTATTCCACCTGAGGTAATTTATCTCCCTTTCTTCACTCACTCTTATTTTCCCCACCAATAAATCTTTCTAGAGATAGTAGGAACTGCAGATGCTGGAGAATCTGAGATAACAAGGTGTAGAGCTGGATGAACACAGCAGGCCAAGCAGCATCAGAGGAGCAGGAAGGCTGACGTTTCGGGCCTAGACCCTTCTTCAG